ACTAATTAGGCAAGTAATTAGGCAACTAATTAACTAATTAGGCAACTAATTAACTGATTAGGTGGCTAATTAACTGATTAGGTGGCTAATTAACTCATTATGCTACCAATGAAATCATTAGGCAACCAATTAACTAATTAGGCAATTAAATAACTAATTAGGCAGCCAATAAACTGATTAAGCAACTAATTAACTAATTAGGCAACTAATTAACTAATTAGGCAACTAATTAACTGATTAGTCAACTCACTAGGCAATTAATAAACTAATTAGTCAACTCATTAGCCAACTAATTAGCAAACTAATTAACTAATTAGCCAACCAAGTACCAATAACTGACACAAGGAATATACGACGAATTAAAAAATTGCGAACGTAAAAAATATGATTTAAAAATTATTTTTCTAATTGCCGGACCAAGAAAAATTCTCCAAAAAATGCATTTTTGACTCGGAACAGCAATGCGCGGGACTTATTTCTAATTAATGTCTAATTAGGCGACTAATGAGAAAACCTGGACACGTAGAGAACAACTACCTCATTAAGAACACGTAGAGTAATGAACATTATTGAGACATCGTTAACTAATTATCTTCTAATTAAAGGTAATCAGTTAAGGTTAACCTTAGACCTACGATTAACCTTTAATACTTCGCGCTTAATTAAATAAAAAAAAAATATATTAAAAAAAATTAATTAAATTTTGTTCATGTCAAAAATTCACGTACATCAATTAAAATAGAATGTTCAATCTCAAATAATAATAATAATGAAAGTAATAATGATAATGATAATAAGAAAAGTGCAAAATTAAAAATTATGAAAAAAACACAATATACATACATAAAAAATACATATATGATTTTTTTTCGGGTCAAAATCTGATGAGCGAACAAGTTAAACATTTAATTAGACTCGGGACAAAATTTGATGATGATTTGCTAAATTTTCGATTCAAAAACTAATTAAACATTTAATTAAAACAATTAAGTCTTTAAGTCTAAGCTCCTTATAATTTAAAAGACTGACTTCAACGCTGAGTTTTATAAGTTATGAGTTTGAGTTGAAATTTCCCGTCGCGTTATGAAATTAAACTTTTTACAACAAAAAAATAATTTTTTCGGATTTTAAATTTGCAGAAGTGAATCCATCAGAATCCAAAATCTCACACATTTATTTGAGTGTAGAGCTTAATACTGTCTTAAAAAATCGAACTTAAACTTTAAAAAAATTTTTTTTTTCGTTAAAACAAAAAAAAAATTCTTGAAGATTAAAATTTTGAGAAGTAAAAAAATTTGAACCATTAAGAAATAAAGGGTAATGGGTGAAGGGAAACACAGTTTGTAAAAATTCATTAGAAAAACATAAAAATGCCCATTACATTTTTGAAGACAAAACCATTAGAAAAATGTTCATGTTAATACCATCAACGGCGTCCATTACAATCATTAAGATACGACAAGAAATAATGGTTACAATATTCTAATGGGTATAATAGACGATGGTTAACTACGCAATGGTCGCGACCATTAGATTCCATTAATGGCACTCACAATCATCTCCATTAAATGGTTATTACAGATGGTTTCTACCTACCAATGGTAGTATTAATGGTAGTACTAATGGTAGTACTAATGGTAGTACTAATGGTAGTACTAATGGTAGTACTAATGGTAGTACTAATAGCAGTACTAACGGTAGTACTAATGGTAGTACTAATGGTAGTACTAATGGTTCACTAATGGCTACACGAACACATTAATTCTAAGGGAACGCATGAGCAGAACGAAGAGACGGCCGCCTATAGCGCGCCCAAGACTGCACGCCATTTCCATTAGTATGACTAATGGAAATAATGCGGGAGAAAATGATTCAAATATGAGAAAATAATGGCCTTTGTACGACCATTATTTATTTGCGTGATAGCCCATTTAATGGTTCGAATCTTTTTGTCTCGGGAATATGATAAAGAAATGGGGTTAATGGAATTGTGCGACGAACGTTTCCTCTAATGGAAGCCATTAATGGGGAAGATGTAATGGGAGTAAATGGAGAGAATAATTCAAGGATAAACAGGAAATATAATGGAGGTGAAGTAATGGAACCGGCGGAGTTGATCGGATATTATAATGGATAATGGGTGAACCACGGATATTATAGAGGATGAATCAATGGATATTATAATGGGCGGAAACAGGATAAGATAATGTGTGAAGGAATGGATAAGATAATGGGTGGCAAGAGGACAAGATAATGTATGGAGCAATGGATAAGATAATGGGTGGAAAGAGGACAGCATAATGGGTGGGGCAATGAGTCTAATGGATAGAATAATGGACAGGGTAATTGGTGGGGCAATGAATATAATAGGTGAAATAATGGAAAGGATAATGGGTGGGGCCCTGAATATAATGGGTGTAATAATGGGCAGGATAATGGGTGAAATAATGGCAAGATAATGGGTAGGGCAGTGAATATAAGGGGTGGAATAATGGATAAGATAATGGATGGGTCAATGAATATAATGGTTGTAATAATGGACAAGATAATGGGTTAAATAATGGGTAATGGCAGCAGTCCCCGGCGCGCTACGGCCTGACGCCAGCGGAGAGCTACAGGCGAGCTTCGGTGGCCAGCCGGTGGTTGGCCACCGATAAAACGCCCTTGAATCTCATTAGTTATATCTAACATCTAAGTAAGAAGCTAGTAATACAGTTAATGGCTCGTTAGCCCAGCTACTTAACTCCTGCACGACCAATTATCCTTTTAATTTTGAGGTTAATTTTGGAATTTAATTTTTTCTTAATAAGATGTCATTTTATCGAAAAAGTTTGTTTTCTTGAATATTTTTCTATTTAATATTTCATCAATTTTTGTAATAGTTTACAACATTTGTGCACGAGTAAATACAAGCGGCAAACACCACCAAATGGTACGTTTGGTACGTTTAAAGGGTACATTTAATACGGCGAGATAAAAGGTACGTTGAATGGTTTGAATAAGCGGTACCTAGTGGTACTTTGGCCAACGAACCTATGAAGAATGTTGGTACTGGTACGTGGGTAGAGAAATTCTGGTGAAATGATACGTTTTAGGGTAAATTACATGTTTTGGGATAAATTGTATGTTATTAGGGGAAATTGTATGCTTTTTAGGGTAAAAATTGTTTTTGGTGTAAATGTTTTTAGGGTAAATTGTAAGTTTTTACGGGGAAATTGCAAGTTTTTAGGGTAAAATGTATGTCTCAGGCTAAATTGCATGCTTTTACGAGAAATTTTATGTTTTTAGGGTAAATTGTAAATTTTTAGGGTAACTTTTGTTTTTCGGGCAAATTGAACGTTTTAGGGTAATTGTATGTTTTTAGTGTAAATGTTACGTTTTTAGAGTAAACGGCAAGTTATATCGAAAAAATTGGTAAAATGTGAACAAACTAATGCTTGATATTAGCTGGCCAATATCTAGACTGTTAGTATAACCCTAACCCTGTTCGCTAGGGTAAGAGTTATCACAGCTCCCCAGACTTACCCCATTTTCTGGGACAAAAGCAGAATTTTCGATCCATTTTACCCTAGTTTCTAGGGCAGCCGTTTCCTTTTTCAAACCATTTCAGGGTATTTTCTATGGGTTAAATAAAACCCCATACTTAGCACCTTTCTGACATATTCAAGCACCCATTTTCTCCATTTTCGCCACATTTCCCTATTTCTGCACCAGTTCCCATATTTCGTAACCATTTTCCCTTATTTCCGCACAATTCTACCCAATTCCAGCACCATTTTTCCTTAACATCCGCACCCTTTCCCCCATTTACCCCATTTATTCCCCTATTTTAGGTCTACATCCACACCCTTTCCCCCATTTACCCCATTTATTCCCCTATTTTAGGACTACATCCGCACCCTTTCCCCCATTTACCCCATTTATTACCCTATTTAGGCCTACATCCGCATTTATTCCCCATTTCCCCAATTTTTGGGGTCTACCCAGACTAGCCTAGCCGACGCCAGGTCTAAAACTAATCAGAATGACGGCTTATGATCCTGCTTACAAACTCATTAACTTATTCGAAACTTATTAACTAAAATGAATTGATTAACTTAAAGATAAAATAGCGGGTAAGTGATTGGCGATAGCAGTGCATATGAAGCCAATCAAACGCTGCACTTCTCGCTAATATTGGGCCAATTTAAATGGGTTCATATTTCCATGGTGACATATATTGCAACTTGAATGGGTAAATATAATGGCTAAATATTGAATATTTAAACGGGTTTATATCGAAAATTTATAAGGGTGAATATCAACGATTTAAATGGGTTAACATTGAAGATTTAAATGGGTTAATATTGACGATTTAAATGGTTGAATATCGAAGATTTAAATGATTGAACATTAACGATTTAAATGGGTGAACATCGAAGATTTAAATGGGTAAACTTCGACGATTTGAATAGGAAAATAATAACGATTTAAATTACATAATATCGAAGCTTTAAATGGATGTCTATCGTAGATTTAAATGGCTGAATATCAAAGATTTAAATAGGTTAATATCAACGTCTGAATAAGGGAAAATCGATGATTTGTATTCGAAAACATTAAAGGTGTAAATGGGCATATATCGAAGAATTAACGGGCGATAAATGGAAAGTTGAATACGTAAACATTAAAGATTCTAATGGGTTATATATCGCTAATTTTAGTGGCTAAATTTAAACAAAATTTGCCACTGATTAAATTAATTAAATGCAAAATTCGGTTTCAAAAATACATGAAATAAGTTGAAGCTAAATTAAGTTAAGAAATTCAATTGCTTAATTAATAATACCAAGTCCCCCACACATGTTGACCAGCGGGGGGAATAAAGGGGGTGAATCTGGGGAGCAGCGATGTTCTTCTCTCCAATATTGGCCACTTAGGGGGAGCCTCCCCCTAAGTGGGGGTTAGGGGGAGTCCCCCTCAAACGTTCACCCCCGGGGAGGCGAGCACCTTTAGGCCTCCATTTTGTATCCTTGCTGCGGGTGCTGCTTCAGTTCTGGGGGAAGAGGGGGCTTAATGAGTTGCTAATGAGGGGCTTAATGAGTTGCTAATGAGGGGCTTAATGAGTTGCTAATGAGGGGCTTAATGAGTTGCTAATGAGGGGCTTAATGAGTTGCTAGTGAGGGGCTTAATGAGTTGCTAATGAGGGGCTTAATGAGTTGCTAGTGAGGGGCTTAATGAGTTGCTAATGAGGGGCTTAATGAGTTGCTAGTGAGGGGCTTAATGAGGGGCTCAATAAGTTGCTAATGAGGGGCTTAATGAGGGGCTCAATAAGTTGCTAATGAGGGGGCTTAATGAGTTGCTAATGAGGGCCTAATGAGTTGCTAATGAGTGGCTTAATGAGTTGCTAATGAGGGACTTAATGAGTTGCTAATGAGGGGATTTAATGAATTGATAATGAGGGGGCTTAATGAGATGCTAATGAGTGGCTTACTGAGTTGCTAATGAGGGGCTCAATGAGTTGCTAATGAGGGGCTCAATGAGTTGCTAATGAGGGGCTCAATGAGTTGCTAATGAGGGGCTCAATGAGTTGCTAATGAGGGGCTCACTGAGTTGCTAATGAGGGGCTTAATGAGTTGCTAATGAGGGGCTTAATGAGTTGCTACTGAGGGGGTTAATGAGTTGCTAATGAGTTTCTAATGAGGAACTTAATGAGTTGCTAATGAGGGGCTTAATAGGTTGCTAATGAGATGCTTAATGAGTTGCTAATGAGTTGCTATTGAGAAGCATAATGAGTGGTCGGACTGTCAATTAGTTGAATCAACTAATATAACCTTTGTGCCCAAACATTTATTATAATGTAATTAACTTAACAACAGCTATATGTACACGCTAAACTTTAACAACGCACCACGTTAGTGTTATGAGTGTTACTCTACAAAATGTTATTCAACGATAAAAAAAATTCACATTTTGAACCTTTGATTTCAACACAATCTTAAGGTTAAATGCTCGTTATCAAAAAGGTTAGTGCAAAATGTACAGTATGTACAATGTACAGTATGTACACTGTACAGTATGTACAATGTACAGAATGTACACTGTACAGTATGTACACTGTACAGTATGTACACTGTACAGTATGTACACTGTACAGTATGTACACTGTACAGTATGTACACTGTACAGTATGTACACTGTAAACCTTTAAAGTCCATCGCAATATTAGTATACTTAATAAATAAATATTCGAATTCGAATTTAATATTCGAATTATGTAGGTACATTATGTACACTTACGTACCGTGTGGCGCGTAATCAAATCAAATTCTACTTACACTCAGTTTACATCAATTTTTCATACATCAACACAGGTGAATACTTTTTTTATACATCAACACAATTTAATACATTTTTTATACATTAACACAAGCGAATAATACAGCGGGCAACACGCGGTTAGTTTCACAACAGCGCGGGTTAATTCAACCGGCGGTAAACCCTTCAACCCCAAAAGCGGGTTAGCGTCAGCGGGTCAAGCTACTGGGCTCGGGCCCCGGCAGCCAAGGGCTTGGCCGACTGGACCCCGGCAGCCTAGGGCTTGGCCGACTGAGCCCCGGCTGCCTAAGGCTTGGCCGACTTGGCCCCGGCAGCCAAGGGCTTGGCCGACTTGGCCCCGGCAGCCAAGGGCTTGGCCGACTGGACCCCGGCAGCCAAGGGCTTGGCCGACTGGGCCCCGGCAGCCAAAGGCTTGGCCGACTGGGCCCCGGCAGCCAANCGATAGCCTAAGCTAAGGCCCAGGCCCAGCTAAGCACGAGGCCCAGGCCCAGACAGCCAAGGGCTTGACCGACTGGGCCCAGGCCCAGGCCCAGCTAAGGCCCAGGCCCAGCTAAGCACGTGGCCCAGGCCCAGCTAAGCACGAGGCCCAGGCCCAGGCAGCCAAGGGCTTGGCCGACTGGGTCTAGGCCCAGCTAAGCACGTGGCCCAGGCCCAGCTAAGCACGAGGCCCAGGTGGGGCGGGACTCACGCGTCCAGCAGGCGCCGCAGCTCTTCGGTGCGACCGCGGCCTGCGGGCGGCAATGGCGGCTTAGAATTTATTATTTTATTTCATAATTAATTATTAAATAATTCCTGACGAGGGGTATAATAAATACTAATAATATAGGAGAATGTGGGGGTGGGGGGAACATGAGAAGTCTGGGGAGGAGAGGGGAATTGGAGAGGGGATTAGAGGGGACCATAAGTGGGCCACGGAGGGGTTCACTCGATCAGTCCATCGTGGGGCCGCGGGCCCAGGTTAGGTTGGCCCAGTGATAGCGCTGGGAGGTAGATGGAAGAAGAGGGGGGAGTGAGGCTCTCATGCCACTAATGAGGCCATGTACCAATTAATTCGTGGACACACTCGGTACTAATGAGGCCACGTACCCGAGGTCGTGGCCACACTCGGCCTCGCTGTACTGCGCCTAGGAGGTCACCAATGAGGCCATTAATAAGGCCCCAAATGAGGCCACGTACCCCTGAGGTCGTGGCCAAACTCGGCCCCTAATGAGGTCACAAATGAGGCCACTAATGAGGCCACGTACCCCTGAGGTCATGGTCACTGGGGGGCTCGGGGGACTGGCTCACCTGCGGGGGGGTTATGGGGTTAATTAATAGGGGGTTAATTAATGATTAGTTAGATAATTGATTATTAGTGGAGAAAGTGGGGGGGTTGAGTTTAGGGTTCAAAAACGGCTAAAAGAATTATTATGACAGTCTAATTGTTATAATCTATAAAAAAATAATAATTTTATATGGTCGTGACACTCTGTGATTAACTTCATAAATTGTATGACTAATATCATGATTAATCCTTAGCCCTCCTTATATATAATATAATAATACGATTAACATATAATTATATGTTAATTATATTTCATTCTTATAATATTTGTTATATTATGTAATAATATAATAACAAATAATTATATGCAATTCTCGAATTCATATTTCGTACCAAAAATAAGAAAGAAAAATGGCTTTTTCTCAATTTCGTTCACTACGTAACTTTCGAATCCAACTTAAACTGCAAAGTTCCACCTCACATTTTTGTCTACGTTTTCAACATGACTTATTCAACGTGGACCTATTGAACTCAATTCAACTCACGTTCGACTGTTGAAGTTGTTGTTGCATGTTCATGGGGGGGATGTTGGGGTGGCTGTTGCGGCCCGCCATGTTGCCTGTTGAAGTTGAAAAAAGTTCAACATTTCAACTTAGCGAGACTAAATTTCATTCAACAATTCTTACGGGAACCAAAATTCAAAATCGGAGCTGAAGTTTTGGGGTCAAAAACGGGCGGGGCCCAGCGTGACCAGGGGCGGGGCCACAGCTTGGCCTGGGGCGGGGACCAAGCGTGGCCTGGGGCGGGGCCTCAGCGTGGCCTGGGGTTGCTACGTCTATAGCTTCACTCAGGAAGCGGACGTAGCACTGATACGCTCTTTTACCGGGCCAAACTGGGTCAGGATGACCCACACAAGGGTACAAAAAGTCCATCGATATTTGGACAAAGAGTATATATGACTGATTATATAATAAATAAGTTTAATATATAAAAATAAATAAAGCAACACTCACTTATACGCTTAGCGGTGCCACTCTGGGACACAGAGTCCAGAGCTCTGGCGTAGGGACCCCCGCCAGAGTAGGTTGAACCCCCGTAGGTGGGGTCCTCGTCAGAGCGCGCGGGTTCATCGTAGGTTGAGTAGTGGGACGACCCCATTGACCCCTGCGCACCCATTGAGCCCTGTGGACCCATTGACCCCGCCCCGCTCGTACTCTGGCTGAGGTCACCGGGTACGGTCGAGTAGTACGTCGAGCTGGGGGGGCGCTGGGGGGGGGGGAGAGAAGGGTGTGAGGTATGGTGATAATGGTAAAATCAGATACTGTAACTTTAGCAGTGAAATGACATTAGTGACAGTAACTGAAACAGAAGTATGAGTAAAGTAATATGTGATGAACATAAGATGAATCACAAATAGCCACAAAAAGCCATGTTGCTACGGCAGTAAACCATGTTGCCAAGGCAGTACGCCATGTTGCCATGGCAGTAAGCCACATTGCCGTGGCATTACTCACGCCGCCGTTGGCGTAGTCGCCGCTCACGCACGAGTAGTAGTTACCGGAGCCGTGGCGCGCCTGCGGACAACAACGACACATGTCACACGCATCAATGGGCGGGGCGTAGTACACATTTGTAGTACGCGCGGGACTAGTGAATGGAGCGCGATTTGGGAATGGGGCAGGGATCATAATTGAAGATTATGAATGAAGATCATGAATGCAGTGAGTATACCTTACGATTGAGCCTCGATATAGGAGAAATATCATTACCCCACTGACCTCACTCATATCACTCCCTCTTCCGAACCCAATCACCCCATGGGTCTCCCCCCTGGTTCATAACGCCCCCCCACCTGGTGGGTGCCGCCGTGGCTGGAATGGCCGCAGGTGTAGTCGCCAGCGACGCAAGAGTAGTAAGTATCCTCCTGGGGGGGCTGGGGGCGGGGCTGTTGGAATGAAGAATTAGAACTGAGTCTTATGTTAGACATAAGAAATGCTTCTATTCTTCATTTTTCAGCAGTTGCAAGCAATATTTTCAGATCTCGGTAAAATTTTTTGCTAGACGAATGGTTTCTACAACAGAAGAACTGTTCAGCTTTGGGCATAAGTCTGCGTGCTTGAGCTTATTGCTCTAGCAGAAGAACTATCGCCTATGAACTATCGCTTACAAAGAACCCCTCTGTGAGCAACATATTTGATTTGAGGATTTCCAATAACTATCGTATATTCTGCTATTTATTTATTTGTCTCTCCAGCAATTTAGAGTGCAGTTGCTAACTTCAATGCTTGGGTATGACTACATGTAAAACTCAATCCTGTCCTTGCAGCAGCCGACGATGGATGCAGAAAGATCTTCATTTGCTATGAAGTGTGAACAACTGAAAGCTGCAATCAAGTTAGTGCCGTAAATCGATATTATTAAGATTAACAAGTGCTTCTCCATTCTATTGTTTGGTCTTCCTTTCGTCAATGGACGTAGAATTTTGATGTCCTTGCAGAACTGTTTGCTCGATAGAAATTTAATGTGACGAATGTTTCATGTCATGATACGGCAAATAATTCAACGATTATTTTTAATACAACGTTGTTCATTCGGCAGGATACATGGATGGAATAGGAAAAATTAGCTTGACTTGCATTACCTCGAATCAGTTATATTGATGTATCGATTAATTTTTATGGGCGATCATTGCCCTCATTTCAAACCACGCCATGTCAAAATAGTTACTATGTTGTAAACGTCTATGCATCGAAATTGAGCCTCTGATAGAGTGTGCTCTGATTTTAAAACTAGGCCAGTAGTACTAGACTGCATATATATAACGTACAAAGATTCAAATGCCCCCTCCTTTCCCCTCATTATAAGGAGGGGGCATTTTTTAACGCACTTTTCAGGTTCGGCCGTGTCTGTCCCGAAGGTATCAGGGGCCAAATACGCGCGCCCCGCACTCGCCTCACAATTGTTAGGGAATAGACCGGATTCTAATCAGGTGCTTATTTCCCTCATAGAACCAGAACCTAAACCCAGTGAAAATTTACAGGCGCGGCAGCTTCTGATTTGGATTACCATTTACCAGATGCTGGGGCGACTCTAAATTTTGTTAGGAAGCGGACATAGAGCTGTTAATTTACACCGCTAGGCGAGCTTGGGGCGTCCACGAGCCAGCGGCTAACCGGAATAAAAATTTTGATAGGGATATTATATCCCCCGTTGGTGGGTGAATGGTGTGGGGAGGGGGGCCAACATTCACCATGGTCTGGGCCGAGGCCGCGGCCCCACAAGCTCCCCCGTTGGTGGGGTGGGGGAAGGTCTGGAAGTTGGAGGGGGCGTCTGAGGCCCCAGGGGCCCCGTTGGCCTCCTCACGGAAGCCCAGAAGGTGGAAGGTCGCGTAGGGGCAGATTTCGTCGTCGGGGCCTGGGGGGGGAGGAGGGGGTTAATATGGAGAGGGGTAAATGGGAGGGAGGGGGTAAATGGGGAGATATAGGGTAATAGGGAGGGGTAAATAGGGGGGATAAATGGGGGGAGGGGGTAATGGGTCAGCAGGTAAATAAGTGAGTCCGCAAACTTAAAATAACTTTCATTAAAACTGTTAGCCTCTGAACAATAAAAATTGTGTTTTATCATCATATTATCAATAATAAATATCGATATAATATTATACATTAATTTGAACGGTTGATTCATAAGATTAAAAAAGTTGTAAATATATCTAGGTTAAGGACAATTTCGTCTCTGAAGACTAATAATCCCATATAATATCAACATATCAATAATTTAACTATCAAACTCACCTCTTATGTTAGTAGAGTTATTCAACTCACCCTTCATGCGATGAACAATTTATTCATTCCATGCAAAACAACACGCATGCCACAACTTATAATCATAACAAAAATCATATAACAAAATTATAATAATAAAATAAATAAAACATAATAAAAAACATAAAAAATAAGTGACCATGCAATAAGATTATAAGCCATGCTATCAATACCTCTTCATTAGCGATGTAATTAATAATGTTGTGTAATTTTCTTTTAGCAGTTAATGGAAGTTCTGAATTAAATTTGAATTATCTGCGGAAATATTTTTATTTAGATTTAATTATTTAAGGAAAATTATTATATTTTTAATATAATAATAGTTAGTTACGCTGCTAACTAGTGCAGTTATAGTTAAGTTAGTCAGTATTCTAATGTGGTTAGTGTCAGGGCTAGTTCTTTAATTTTATTTCAGTCGCAATTTCAATTAAAGAGGAAATTTGTACGATTTATTTTGATTAATTAAACTATTCCATTAGTGATTAAGGGTTCCATTATTGAATTAACTGTGATCCATTGACGGGACTACGGTCTCGTTAAACCCACGTCCCCAACGTGTAACCCACGTCCGCCACGTGTAACCAACGTCCCCAACGTGTAACCAACGTCCCCAACGTGTAACCCACGTCCCCAACGTGTAACCAACGTCCCCAACGTGTAACCCACGTCCCCAACGTGTAACCCACGTCCCCAACGTGTAACCCACGTCCGCCACGTGTAACCAACGTCCCCAACTTGAAAGAGGTTCGAGGAATTCGCCCAAAATATATCAACATGCGTGTTGATATATTTTGGGGTGAAGGGAGAGGATGATATGAGGGGAAATGTGAGGGGTTGTGAGAGGGGTGAGGGTGAGGAGCGAGGGGTGAGGGGTGAGGGGTGAAGGGTGTGGGGAGTGAGGAGCGAGGTGTGAAGGGGTGAGGGGGGATTGAGGGAGGCAGGCAGAAAAAAAGTGTGTGGGAGAAAAAAAATAGTTAAATTAATGAAAATAAAATAATCATAGACAATTGGAAACAAAATCATAAGTTGAAATAAAAAGAACAGGCATCCAAATTCCAATTCTACAGAGAAACATGCAACAGCTTTTGGACAATTGAAATCGATAATAAATAACGATAAATAATAAATAAATGAATAATAAACAATATAAAACAATTAAAGCAGTATGTTGACTTCGCTTATGAAGGCAAAGATTAGACTACCTAATTAATAACCGGGTTCTCCGGACGCTTGATATATAAAAGAGTTACCGCTGTCAAAGTCATCTAAAACTAACTGTTGACCTGTACAATTGTACATACATCTTAATTCTTCTTTAAATACAATTATTAACTTTCATGGCTTCTCATCGAATTCGTGAAAATAGCTGTTTTGTATTTTTAAAAATTTTATTTTCTAATTTTACTCAGTAAACGCACGCTTTTGGTTAGGTTTTCGCCCAGAAAATGTTTTATTTTCGTACAAATTTTGAAAGGGTAACATTCCTATTTCAGCTACAAGGAGTTCATATAACGCATTAACTTCTAAAATGTTGATAATTTAATGTATAGAAGAAATCTATGGTGTGCAATATACAATTTCTTTAATGATCGTCAAAGACATTACAATATCTTACGGATGATAACGGAATGTTTGAATGATTCTCAAGAGATCTGACATCATTCGGACTTTTTGAACGCTCTTATAAGCGGAAATACAAAAAAAAACATATATATAAAAACAAAAACCTTATAAACGAAGTCAACCATAAGCACAAATAAGAATATTGCAAATAAATAATTAAAATATCAAGATACAATAACAGTGCTGGGAGAACGTACGAACATATTTACTAAAAGAATGAAGACTTACCTGCTTACCTGTTATTGTTATCGCCTGCGATCATTGTTATCGCCTGTTATCGTTGTTATCGCCTGTTATCGTTGTTATCGCCTGTTATCGTTGCTATCGCCTGTTATCATTGTTATCATTGCTATCACTATTATCGTTGATAACGCCTGTTATCGTTGTTGTCGCCTGTTATCGTTATCAGTGTTATCTCAGTTATCGTTGTTATCACTCACCCCGCTTGATCATATTATCACTGTTATCGTTGCTATCGCCTGTTATCATTGTTATCGCCTGTTATCACTCACCCCGCTTGATGCGGTCGCAGGTGTTGAAGTTGTTGCCGGGGACGGGGGGCAGCTTGCGGTTGGGGGGCGGTATGTACCCCAGCTCCCCCGCGAACGCCCCCGGGGGGCGCTTGTCCATGGTAGATGGGGGTACCATGCTGGCGTTGTACTGGTACTGCTGGTACACCTCCTCTGTAATGGTAGGTACCGTGAGTACTGGTACTGAATATGAGGTGAAATAAAGGGTTAACTTCAAGAAAGTTGATTAATGATGGTTGATGGTTGATTAATGATGGTTGATGGTTACAACCAATCGCCTTAAACAGGGGTCAAGGGTTGGATGAATAATCAAGGGCCAGAGATGAAATTGGTATTGTTGAAAATATGGACTAAAGGCCTTACCCTTGATGGGGGAGCTCCGGCCCTTGATGTAGGCCTTACCCTTGATGGGGGAGCTCCTACCCTTGATGCAGACCTTACCCTTGATGGGGGAGCTCCTGCCCTTGATGTAGACCTTACCCTTGATGGGGGAGCTCCTGCCCTTGATGTAGTTGCCCTTGATGCAGGCCTTACCCTTGATGGGGGAGCTCTTGCCCTTGATGCAGGCCTTACCCTTGATGGGGGAGCTCCTGCCCTTGATGTAGCAGATGATGACGATGGCCAGCACGATGACCACGATGGCAGACACGATAGGCACGATCAGGTTCAGGTTGAGGTAGAGGGGCAGCGACCCCGACCCGTAGGGCGGCACCTCCCGCGCGGGGGCTATGGTACCTGGGGGGACATGGGGGCTGAGGAGGTGCGGGGGCTATGGTACCTGGGGGGGGACATTGGGCCGAGTAGGTCAGACCACAGCTGGGGTAAAGGACCATGTACCCCACGCCACAAGAACCGCATACCACACTACACGCACCAAGTACTCATGTCCTTATGTCAAGTTTAGGACGTTCTTGTACAGATGATCGCGCTGATGCGCCGCCTTCGTCGACCTCCGTCTCCGAATCGTCGCTAGGCAGGTCACCCCGCCCTCTGGTCCCGGATGCATCGCATCGTTGGACGTGTTCCGTCTATTTGCCCTCCTTTGGGCCAGCTGATGCAAGATGCTGTTGCTTGTCACTTGCTGATGGTAGTTTCCCATTACTGGACAATCCGGGATCTTTCTCAACCACTTGTCCAGTCGTCTCTTGAATGTTGGAAGGATGAACTCCCCTCCTCTCAGCGCTTTTGGCAAGGCATTAAAGAGCCTCGGTCCTACCACGGACAGTGATCCCTCACGAAGAGTCTTCTCTGGCCGCGGCTCGGTTATTAAATGGGGGAATCCTGCACAGTCTCCTCGTAATTCGTTGTGACATGTCACTTTCCTAAAAGTCTCACTTTTAAAATTGGGAGAAAGTCCAGTTATCATCCTAAAAAGTGTACAATATGATGTACTTCTCTCTTCTCATATCCAGTGAATACAGTCTTAGATGCTCCAACTTGTCTCAGTAGCGCAGGTTCCTCGAGCCGCTGATCCCGAACGTGAAGGTCCGTTGGACAGAATTCAATTGCCGACCCGAACCCGCCTTGAGTGGGGCCCAAAGCTGGCAGCAGTACTTGAGAATTTGAAGCACGAGGGCTGTGAAAAGTGTTATCGTAGGCTCCGCTTCTTTTGTGCAACGCTGTGGTCGTCAAAAGTATACTCATCAACACTTCGAGATCTGGAACAGGTTGATTCTACTCGATTTGTGTGCAGTCCGATGCCAAGTAGCATTGCAGCATCCCAGACTCTGTGCCAACTCTACATCTCATAAACGCATCCCAAGCCACAGGTACTACATACCCCACACATCAGGTACCACGTACCCCACACAACAGGTACCACATACCCTACACAACAGGTACCACGTACCCCACACAACATGTACCACATACCCCACACAACAGGTACCACGTACCCCACACAACAGGTACCACGTACCCCACACAACAGGTACCAC